CTGAAAGTCGTGCCTGGCAATTTGTACTGATATACACAGGTAGCTGCAAGCAAGGCACCAGAGGACTAACTGTCCCCCATCTCGTTCTCATGAATAGCAACAAACGAACTTCCTTAGACTGAACAGCACGCCAATGCGTATACATGAAACGCATTCACCGCGACTCATGCCTCGAGATCTGCAAATCCTCAAACGCACATCCACATCTAGCGAAACGACTTGATGCGCGCAAACCCTGCATCACAAAATCCTGCCTGGCTGCGGACAGCTCGAACGCGTCCGCGCCGACCAGCAACAGCCGCATTCTCATCACTCCTAAAAACTTACACCCTCGGCCTAAAACACGATCCAGCTGTACATGCAAAAGGCACTCACCTTCCCTGACGCCTCCCGTGCTGCAACACCAATTCGTACACACCTGCACCGAGACCCAAACAAGAATACGAAGACAATGCACGCCCTCATGAATAGCAACAAACGTACTCCCTTAGGCTGAACAGCACGCCAATCCGCACACGCGGGAAGCACTCACCGCGACTCATGCCGTGACCTGGGCAAATGCTCAAACGCACAACCATATCTAGCGAAACGCCTTCATGCGCGCAAATGCTGCATCGCAAGTTCTTGTCTGGCTGCCGGCAGCACGAACAAGTCCGCAACAAGGACCAACGTCCGTAGTCTCGTCACTCCTAGCAAACGTACCTCCTCGGGCTAAAGCACCACCCACCCGCACATGCAAGAGGCGCTCACCTTCCCTGACACATACCGTGCTGCAACACCAATTCCTACACGCCCGCGCCGTGACCCAAAAAAGAATACTCCGAATATCCACGCCCTCATGAATAGCAACAAACGAACTTCCTTAGGCTGAACAGCACGCCAATGCGTATACATGAAACGCACTCACCGCGAGTCATGCCTCGAGAGCTGCAAATCCTCAAACGCACATCCACATCTAGCGAAACGACTTGATGCGCGCAAATCCTGCATCACAAATTCCTGCCTGGCTGCGGACAGCTCGAACGCGTCCGCGCCGACCAGCAACAGCCGCATTCTCATCACTCCTAAAAACATACACCCTCGGCCTAAAACACGATCCAGCTGTACATGCAAAAGACACTCACCTTCGCTGACGCCTTCCATGCTGCAACACCAATTCGTACACACCCGCACCGAGACCCAAACAAGAATACGCCGACAATGCACGCCTTCATGAATAGCAACAAACGTACTCC